AAATAATAATATTATTATTTGTTCTCGAGTTCATCGGGGTTATCCCTTAAATGGTAGAGGGCTCGTTTTGCATACGAGTAGTCCGAGTTCGAGTCTCGGTAACTCCAATTTATAACTTAGGTATATGCATATACTTGGGATATAAACAGGTTGTAGCCTAATCTGGTAAGGCATTTACTTTGGGTGTAAAATAGTGTAAGTTCAAATCTTACCAACCTGATATAATCCCTATATTAAAGATAAAGACCGAAGGTCTGGATAGAACATCTAGTAATAACTTAACTTTGGGCGGCTTTGCCACCCTTATCTAATATTAATATCGCGCTTTGCGCGGCCTGGTATTCTAAATAAATATTCAGGCCCGTCGGGGCGATCCGAGGTGAGTTTAAAACTTCACCTGGCCCCGCGCGCAGAGCGCGCGCGGGTCTGACCAGCGGAGCCACGTAGCGGCTCCGCAAGCTAGATTTTATCTTAATTAAACGTATCTTCAAACTTTCGCTTACCTAGTTCAAAGGAAGAACAGGGTACTTCTAATACCCAAATCCAGGATCGAAACCTGGGGTGAGTAATTATCATAAGCCCGTCTTATAAGACGGGCCCGAAAGAATACACTGTCTTATCTAGGTGATCGGAACTCCAAACTATAATTTTATTTTATAAAATTAAAATATTATATAAGTAACATTTCCATTAACGATTGTGATGAAATTGGCAAACATGGTTGATTTAGGTTCAGCTGGTAGTAATACCTTGCAGGTTCAAGTCCTGCCAATCGTAATATTTAATTTATCTGTAAAGGCCATGCCCTATAAATTGGGCAAGGATTCATATAACGGCTTCTTATGGTTGAAGGTCGATCCCTAGGGTTCTAGGTAAATTTAGGGGCAGTAGCTTAATGGTAGAGTCCTTACTTGTCACGTAAGTGGATATGGGTTCAAGTCCCACCTGCCTCGTCTATCAATATCATTATTTATATAGTAATTACTATAAATATAAAACCTCCGTGTCATAAGGATCCGGAAATCGGAGTTTATTGAATTTTTTATATAAATACTTATACCCCTTTTAATAAAATAAATTGCAAGTGGCGAGACTCGAACTCGCAGTAGTCTACTTGGAAGGTAGGGGCATTAGCCAATTATGCTACACTTGCTTTCTTTTATTTAATATTAGTATATTACTTATACTTTTAAGTCTTGAGGGCCGCGTAGCAGCCCTCAAGACCATTCTGGCAGCGACGGGCGCAACCTGGCGTGGTTAACCTATATTTTATTAAAAACAGAATAGGGTGGCAGAGCCTCCCCAGGACCAGCGGGCTGTTGCCCGCTGGTCTAAATCCTATTTAATTTATAATCAAAAATTGACCTGTGCACGTAAATTAGTGTAATATGATTAATTTATAAGTAATAATAAGGTTCATCGACCGCGGAGCTGTAGATAAACAAAGGCCGCTCTGCGGCCCAGATTCTAGATATTTATAATTTAAGTACAAAATATTCATAATATATTTTCAGAGCGTTTCTAGCTTAATTGGTAGAGTACAGGATTTCGGCTCTTGTTGGTAGAGGTTCAACTCCTCTGAAACGCTGTATAATATTTGTAGGTGGGAATAGTTCAATCGGCAGAACATTAGTTTGTGGTACTAACGGTTCCCGGTTCGATTCCGGGTTTTCACCCTTTACTTTAGACCCTTTACTGGTATATAGATATGTTAATATAAAGAAGTTTTAAGGAGGCCGAAGGCCTTGAACAAAGGGGAGCCGCGAGTTTAAAATATCCGCTTCGCGGATATTTTAAATAAAAATATTATTTTGGCGG